CCCTTTAATCATACCCTGCAACAAAAAAAGGGAATATTCACATAAATGAGATAAATAAAAGTTATTAATAGCTTAAAAAAAACATCCACACATGGCAGTGGGAGTGGCATGTCCCTGGGGACAACAGAAGTCTCGGTCTGGGACCTCTCCCAAACCTTGCCTGATATGTCTCTTCACTTGTATCCTTTCTGATTATAATAAATGAGTTACAGTAAGTATGGGTAATAGTTTCTATGAGTTCTGTGAGTCATTCTAAGGAATGACTGAACCCACCAAGAGCCAGAAGAGAGGCTGATGTTTGCCAGGGGCTAGAAGGTCAGAGTTCTAACTTGTGGAGACCCAACTCTGGATGGCAGAAAATTTGCCACATAGGAGTCTGGTGCCAGGATAATGAAGTGGGAAAGTGGGGATATGAGTTACCTTCATATTTGGAAAATTCTTTATGTTGACAATTATTCATGCACTGACATACTGTTTATGACGTACAACTAACTACTGAAAATGACCACCAAGATCTCCCCCAAAAAACAAAACAAAACGAAAGACCTTCTTTCAATGACTTCCTTTTCTAAATCTCCCTGGAGTCATTCTCCCACAAAAGTGATGGTGAATTTCCTATGAGCCTTCTCATTCTCAGTCATAAGTTAGTCAGTGGCTGGGTGCTATCTTACTTGGCTTTAGTTCTGTCTCTCACATGAAACATGCACAAGCCACATAACCCTGTTATGTGTGAAATGTGTATATCACAAATAAATATATCAAGTATATCAAAAGAAATGAAATAAAAGTGAAAGTATTTGTGAAGGAAAAAAAAAATATCCTGGAGCCCTCTCTTCCTCAATTTGACAGCCCTAGATGTCCTGACAGACATTCTAGGAACTCAGCCTTCTCTGAGTACAAGGTCTGACAGTCCATGTGGGAGACTTTTTCCACTTCTAAAAATTTCCTTCCTGGCTCTCAGCCTTGCTGACATCTGTCCTGGCAGAGCTAGAGGGGTGTCCTTTTCTCCCAAATCAGAAGGGTACCAGGCAAAGGGAAGAAATGACCTGAGCTAACAGCTCAGAGGGAATTGCTGCCCAATTACATGACAGTTATGAAACTGCAAAGCATCTTGAACTTTCTCTTGGGCTACCTTCAAGTGCTAGTCTTTTTTCTTCTTGCATCTAGAATCTTCTAATACTAGTGCCCAGAAGATCCCTGGATATGGATCCACCCCCTTTAATTCAGGAATTAAGTTCTATCCCCTTTAATACAGGAATAAAAAAACAAAGGTCAAAAAGAAATGGCTTGCCCAAAGGCCTGGTGTCAAAATCCTCTATGCTTAGCTACCTCTCTTAAGATAAGGCTGTCCAACTCCTCCAACTCCACAGAAAAGCTCCAAGCCTTCTTTGCTGGTGGTTATTTTCCCCCACTGCTGGCATGTAAGTCTTGAGGCTAAATCCACCAGTCTATCAGCCTCCCACAGGCTCCTTGCTCTGGCTGTGGCTCTCTGGAGATGGCTGTACACACTGGTGAGTCAGGACTCCTTGGGAGCCAGATGTGTGGAACTGCCCAGCTCCCTGCAGCCCACACCCAACTGCTAGTTTGCAAGTTAAAATCTGGATATGCCTACGGGAGCTTGGGAAAGCCTGAAACATGTGAATCCACAACTCAGAGGCAAAGAGCTGAGAATGACTACTCTAAGAGATAAAGACTGCTCTGGCAGAGAAAGGGGTATCATCATGGAGTGTGGGGGAGTACTGAGGGGGCAAGGGTGCTGCTGCAACTACCTCAGGCCAACACAAGGCAAGTCATGGCTCACTCCTGGTTACCAACACCTCACAAGGTCCCCACAGAGCAAAGCCAAGTTCTTTAGAGAGCTGCCTCCCTGCAAGGTGACAGGGATGAGGATGAGATGGGGGCACCTCCACAAGTGAGAGTGGAAACTGGCTCCCATGGCTCTCCCCACACAGGGCTGTCTTGCCAACACTAATACCCCACACCACATGGAGGGCCCAGAGAACATGACAAGGGACAGGAAGAAAACAACGCTAAGTGCTTCCTGTGCCAAGCACTGCTTCTAGTTGTTGGCACATGATGACAACAGTTACATCTGTGTCCTCCTTCCCCAGCCAACATCTCGTGGAGCCTGACCAGAGAAGGGGAATAGGCGGCAGTCCCATTTTGAAAAGAGAAAGACAGACTCCAAAAGGCTAAGTCAGTGAAGTCCTCCCTCCATTCGGTGCTCTCCTGCTGCCTGGTTTTCTGCTTCAATGGCAGCCAGAACAAGGAGAGACAAGCTCTGTTAGAGATATGGTCTGTCCCCACAACAGGCCCAAGGTAAAGGCCTGAGATGGACTAGAAACCTCCTTGCTCCTGGCAACCCTTTTCTCACACCCCCATAAACTAAACGCTGGCTGTGTGGGATAGGAGGAAGTGGAGGAGTTGCCATTTCCCTCTGCTCTGAGGCTACCCATCTGTTTCCTGGGATAGGACTCCCCACCCCCCCATCTACCCCCTAGTCCGGAAACTCACTTGCTCTGGGACTGTGGGAAAAGGGAACTAAAGGGCCTTACCTCCCCAGGGGGCAGAGGCTTTGGCTGCTGCAACCACTTCCAGGCCTCCTGCCCTCACAGTTCTATGGGACCAGCTCCAACAGTTCTGTTGTTGTTGTTGTTTGCCGTCGAGTCGGCCCCAACTCATAGCGACCCCTCCTTGGGTTTCCAAGGCAGTATCACTACGGAAGTAGGATTGCCCAACCTTCCTTCCGAGGAGTGTGGCTGGTGGGTTTTAACCACCAGCCTTCTGGTGAGCAGTCAAGTGCCTTAGGCACTATGCTACCAGAGCTCCTCCAACAGTTCTAGACACATGATAGAGAGGCAGGCCCAGGTGGCACTGCCCAGCAGCCCAGGTCCCACATCCTCACAGGGGTCAAGAGACTTCCCTCCCTTTCCCCTTCTGGCCCAGGATGGCACCCCAACCTGGGAAATGGGTAGTGGAGTGACTTTCTGGGTAGAAGTCTGTGGAAAGTAGAAAAAAGTGAACGGAGCCCTAACATTTGCCTACCTCCCCGACAGGGTCATCAGTGGGTGAGGACTGCCACCTGCTGGACAAGCCAGATACAGCACCTAAGCCACCCTGTGTTGGGTCCTGGGCCAACATGTTTTTGTTACGTGCCATGGAGGTGGGACCAGACCCATAGCGACCCCTCCTTGGGTTTCCGAGGAGGTATCACTACTGAAGTAGATTGGCCAACCTTCACCAACACACACTGAAGGAAAGCACTGCCTGGGCCCAAACACTTAATGCCTCATAAAAACTAATGTTTTAATAACGTAGAAAGTGTCAAAGGCAATGTACAGTGCTATGTCAAATGAGGAATTTAAGAGAAGGGGAGCAATATTACATGGCTTGAGGCTGCCTAGGGAGTCTTTTGGGTAAAGGGTTTACACAAAATTTGGAAAGGTAGAGAGGATCAGGGAGGGTAGTTCAACAGACCTAAGCAAGGGCAATGGGGACAGTGGGAGATGATCCAGACCAACTAAGGGCTTTGATGTTACACTAGGAAGTAGGGTCACTACCTGTCGGCTTTCACACTATTTAGACCTTTTTCCCTCAAAAGATTATGTTGCACTCAGGACCAGTCGCAGGGGACACCAAGCTCAATTGGCATAACATACCACACAAAACATTATTCTACCTCCTACTTTGGCGAGTAGCAACTGGGATCTTAAAAGCTTGCAAGCAGCCATCTAGATGCAACAATGGGTCTCTCCTCATCCAGAGCAAAGGAGAATGAAGAAACCAAAGATTTATGGGAACAATTAGACCAAGGGACTGGTACACACTATGATCCATAGCCTATGACTATGAGATGAGAAGAACTAGATGGTGCCTGGCTACCACGGTCAACCACACAGAGGGGGATCTATGTATGAGATCCTGGATAGAGAGGGAGAACAATGTGGAACAAAACTCAAAATTTGAGAAAAAAAAAAAAGAGAGAGAGAGAGACCAAGTTTGCTGGTCTGATAGAGCCTGGTGGAACCACTGAGACTATGGCCCCTAGTTGCCCTTCAGATCTGGAATTGAACCCACACCTGTGGCTTCCAGCCAAACAAAAGACAGGCATATGAGTTGAACATTTACTCCAGGTAGATACACTCCTTGGAGAGAACAGTCATGGGAAAAAGGACTGTTTATGCACAGGGAGATAGCTCAGGGGGCAGGAGTGCATGTAGGGATAGACACAGGGAAAAGGTAACTATTGGGAAGAAGTGGGAGGGGAGCTATTGCATTAGGGTAAATTGTAGTCAATGCCATGAGACAAAGTGTATGTGAACTACTGTATGAAAAGTGAATGTGCTCTGTAAACTTTCACCTAAATCACAATTAAGAAAAAAAAAAAAAAAGAAGAAGATTATGCCCCAGAGCTTCCATATCTAACAATGATAAAAACTGAGGTGGTCTGGCCAATGGCAGGGGCCAGAGTTCGTCCCACTTACCCTGCCAAACATACTGTGGCAGCCCCACGTATCTTTGCTCTGAAAGCAGAGCTGAGGGCAACAGGGAGCCACTAAGGTTTCCATGCAATAACTGAGTCAGCGGTGGTATCTGACAAGGAAGGAGAACAGAACCACAGGAATCAGGAAAAAGTGAAAGCTGTGGGAGGGAAGCCCAAGACAGCAAGAAGGAGCTAAGAACTGTCTGCATTTCTCCAGCGAGCCCTCCTTCTACACCTCCTCCCAGGGAACCTCAGGGTCAGTGTTTGGAAACTGAAACTCTCCCTTCACCAATGCATCCTTGTCTACCTCCCCTCATGGTGCCCACACTGTCTAACCTAGCTTCTGGGTATTATGACATTGGTCTCTCTCCTGTGTCTTCCTCATAACAACCCACACAAAGGACCTCCACAAACACCACAATTAAGAAAATCCTATCCACTACACATAAGTCAGCTGACCACAGGGGGCAGAGTCTAACTGTAGAAGTCATCAGGCCCATCTATTGAGGATACTCACCCCAGGAATGTCCAAAAGGTCTGACACCAGAAGGGGCAACTTCAGGGCTGCAACACTTCCAGTGACACCCACAAGAACATGGAATTTTCTCTCTACCAATGGTGCCACAGTTTGACATGAGGCTCTTGGCTCCACATGATATCCAGTGGCTTTGAGTCCTGGGAGCCCACCATTTCTGGCCTCCATCAGGTTCTGTCAGGATTTAGGATCTAAAAGCAAAATAAAGGGTGTCCCTTTCATTCATACATTTAACCAAAATGTACTGAGCATCATGAATTAGGTCCTAGGCCAAATACTGCTATTCCTGAGGAGTCTCTGAGTAGTGCAAAGAGCTAATGTACTCAGTTGCCAACCAAAAGGTTGGAAGTTCAACTCCACCCAGAGGTACCTCAGAAGAAAAGCCTGGCAATCTATTTCTGAAAAATCAGCCACTGAAAACCCTAAGGAGCACAGTTCTACTTTGACACACATGGGATTGCCACGAGTTAGAGTCAATTCGACAGTAAGTGGCAGGCTGAGGGGATCAGCAATCCCAGTTTCTAGGAGCATAGTTTGATAAGAACATCAGATACCTTCCCTCCACCTCCCATACAGATATTATAACATAACGCGACAACTGCTATGAGAAAGGTCTATACTAGGTACTGTGACCACCCAGGAAGTGAGTCTGAGGAAATCAGAGACCATTTCACAAATAAAGATGACATTTGGTTTGAGTCTGAAGGATAAACCAAAGTTTTCCAGAGTAAGAAGGAAATAACTTTGAAGAACTAGGTATTTTTTATAGATCCCCAAGTGATTCTTAAATACATGTAAGATATAGTTAATAATCACTTGGGGATCTTGTTAAACTCTAGATTCTGATTTAGTATATCTGGGGTAGAAATGCAAATTCTCAGCAGGGGGTCAAACCTGAATGAACTGCTTTGAAGCCCTGGCTAGAAGTGAGTGACCATGACAAATACTGCAAAAACCTATACTCTGGCAGACTGGGCCATGCAAATACCTCTCTCCATCAGCAGCAATCACTGAGGATGAGTTTCAGATTACCCAATCAGCAGGGTAAGCACGGGCTTATTTGTGCTTACTTACTAACCTGTAGTGAACAATTTCGTATTTTTCCACCACATCTAAGATTCTGTGTCTAGACATGGCTGGCATCTGTCTCTCTACCAACCCCACAGCACCTTCCTACAGAACCGAAGCCTCCTTCCAAACTTACAACTGCTAAGAAGGGCAGAGTAACCAGTAAGCAAGGTAACCACAGGCTCACTTGTGCTTACTTACTAACCTGTAGTGAACAGTTTCACGTTTTTCACTACATCTTTGAAACCCATGTGAAATTGTTCACTACAGATTATTAAGGAAGTACAAGTAAGCCTTTGTTTACTTTGCTTATTAGGTAATCCACCCCTGCTGAGGACCAATTATGTCTAGCACTGGACAAGGAATTGTGGAAGACATAGCTCCTGCCTTCAGGGACCCTGTAGATGAGTTGAGAAGACAGGAGCCACACCTGAAACCATCTGAGATGAGTCCTTCTCTGGGGTATAGCTTGTGATCACAGAATCCATTTGTACATCAGTG